TAGCATCAAATACTTTCATTAAACAGCAACACCTTAATGATGCCTTGGTAAAGCACAGCTGTGCAGGGATTAGTACTGTCAGCTCACAGCAACAAAGTCCTGGCTGAGGATCCACTGACCAGCTGGGGCCTGTGTGTGGAGTTTGGCTCTTCTCCCCATGCTGGATGGCTTCTCTCTGGATACTCCTCCTAATGTCCAAAGGATTGCATGATAGTTTAACAGGTGATCCCTAATTAGCTCAAGGTTTAAATGTGAGTGTCATTGGTTTTCTTTCTCTGGGCATAACAGATTAATCGACCTGTCCAGGGTGCATCAGCTGGGCTCTAGGCTCCAGCACTGCACAGTGCAGAAGCAGCAGACGATGGGTGGATGGATTTCTGTACGGCTCTAGTGGATTGTGGGTTTTAGACACAGAAATTGTCCAACTAATTTTGACTGTGTGGGAACATCGGCCCTTGAAACGTACATGCACGTACCTTGAGGTCCAATAATTAGGCACGCCTTGGGTTTAATGTATGTAGATTGGACCAGCAGGTAAAGAAAGAAAACTGTACTGTGCATCTGTTTTCTTTCTACTTGTTTGTCTTGTTTTTTAATTTTTATGACATTTAAATTGATAAGGAAAAAAATCCAATGTACAAATTATTAATGAAGATAATTAATTTGTACTTTTCTCTGTTTTTAAGAATGACGTGTAAAAGGTTTTACTCTGGAAGATGTTTCTGCGTCTCTAACGGTTATATTAATATGAGCTCTCGTAAAGCGCATATCAAAGCGCGTTAGCTTCTATGTCCACTGGGTATCTCCTGAAAAACAAATGCTAAACAGATGCTGAGGGGAACTGTCGTGCGTGACTCCTGTTGTTGCTAAGCAACTACCGGTTGAAATGTGGCACTCTTTGGCTAAAAGTTGTAATATTTTGAACCTCAAGCACTAGCTGTGCTCAGCGCCAAAATCATGCTAATCTCTCAACTCTGACGGGACGGTGCAACAAGGTTCCCAGTTGGAGCTTCTGAGGAATGGATGCCACTACCGTAAACACATCGCCTCAGAGTTGGATTATGATTTATAAACGTCTCTTACTACAGGGAACTAATCTTTTAAATGTATACCATATTTTAAACATCGTCTTGTGCACTCGGGTCCAAACTGCAGGTAGAACACAGATGGATCCATTATTTTTACCCCTGAAGGGAGCATCAGTAGTTTCACTCCCTCACGCCAGTTTTTAATATGCAAGTATCACAGCTGGTAACTTGTATGAGATAACTGTATCCACATTTTGACTTATTAGTACATTTTCAGAACCAGGTCATGTTAATCCCTCTCATTGAAGGTGTATGGCTTTGATTGGCCGTGGTATCATTTGTGTGCTGGGAGACGGAGGTGTGCTGGGAAATCACCAGCTAATATTTGTCTTCTGGTCCTATTTAGCCTAACTAGCTTGCATCTGAACAGTGCAAGCTGCTGGTGGCTGTCCTGATTTATTTTAGTCAAAGAATGCATGGAAATGGGTGTTTCTGCTGGTGTCCACCACAAGTCTGATGCATTTACTCAGCTGTGAGGTGTAGAGTCCTTCATCTCCAGCCTTCTGAAGTTGTTATAATCAACCAACCAACTCACTGTATTTAGAGATGGTCAAAAGGACAGTTCGTGATCATGCTTCAAGGCAACGATAAGTCAAATAACCACTCAAATAACCAAGGTAAGCATCTTTGACTGGACAATATACCAAACCTTGAATCCAGAAGACCCCACTGGGAGTCACACCTGTCAGCAAAAACCAGGAAACTGATAAACAATTTTCATGGGCTCAACAAAAGAAGATTGTAAAAACGTTCCTCGGTGTGAGTCTCAAATTCTGCTGGAAGAAGTTGTTGTAAACAGCATGAATCCATCCTGCTGATGCTTTTAGATTAGATACTAACTTACGACAGTAAAGATGCTAACAGTGGCATGTTTCCTTCCTCTGACAAACCGTGACACAGCTGTTCTGCAGGCAGGTGCACAGCCCTCCCCCTCGCAGTTCAAATCTCTTTTAGAAGGAATTTGAGAAGTCTGAGCTCTAAAGAACGTTTCCAGCACCTTGGTGAAGCTATGTTATAAAGAACTGAGGCAGTTCTCAACATCTTTCAGGGTTAACGAACTCAGATCGTTCATAAATGTGTGTTTCAGCACATTTACAGTGAAGCTGCGTTCACACATGTGTGCGTAGATTCAAATAAACTGAGAACTAACAGGGACAACCAAAGCACCGGATGCGTGCCGAGGCTGCACAGTGCCCATGTCTGCTCAGGGCTTCAGTTCATCTAAAAACGTTCTCTGCCAGCTCACATCAGCAGAACAGCAGAGAAACCTTGCAGGCAGGTTGCCAGTTGATAGCAGAGCTGCTTCAGCTGTGTTCACCTAACTCTGGTGTATTTCAAGTTAAGGTTCTCTAAAACAGCTCCACCTCCACTACAACCGGAGTTATATAATGGAGCTCATCTGTACATAAACCCAAGACTGATGCAGAAAGGCAGAGAGATTTTAGCCGGGCTCACTGCCCTCCTGCTGTCAGCATATGTTTGCAACTTGCTCGTGCATGTATAAGCACCTACATGTGTATGTGTGCATAAAATATACTTGGAAACCCAAATGAAATCTTCGTTATAACATGTAACCATTGTATACGTGTGTGTGTGTGTGTGTGTGTGTGTGTGTGTGTGCGCGCGCGCGCCTCTGCACAGCCTAATTTCTGCCCATCTCGCTGTTCTGCCAACAGCTGAATAGACATTTAACCCTTCTCCCTGCTGCTGAAGCCCTGCAGGGCAAAATTAAAGTGCTAATAATAGCACGCTATGGGAGAAGCAGGTTCCAGTGTTCTTGTGTTAGATGCACATGAGCTTTTGTTTCGTCTTTGTTTTTCAGTTGCAGTATGATTTCTTCATACATGAATTTATTGATCCACTATACAGTCTAATCTGTACAGTGGATCATAATAACATTATAACAAATAATAATTTTCTGTATCACTCATTTAATAAAGTTACATACTCTTAATGCCAGGCCCAAGCCTGTTGAAAAGATTTGGGCTAAATCAAACATAAATCATAAGAATAAGATTTCCATGCTGATCCGGTCGTGGCCCAGATTAACAAAAGCTGCCTGCTGATGGCCACAGGGTGGAAACTGTGCATGTGATGCTAAAGACAAAGGACTGTGGGGTTAGGATGAGATGGAGGACGATGATCAGCTGTGGTGAAGCGGGCACATGTCTGAGGGCTGGATGTTTTCATGAAGCTGGGAATTAGCTAAAGAGACCAAAACTTTTAAATGTGCTTTTAATCCTGTAAAGTTGGACTTTCAAACTTGGGAGTCTCTGGGCATCAACTCATGTTTGGAGTGGATCACAAACTAGACCTGCTTTGCTGCCCCTCCCTCTAACTGCCCAGATCTTCCTGTGGTAGAAAACATGTTAGTACTTGCATAAAGTTTTCAGCCTGATTTGCCAACAAAGCTTCTTCTGTGTGTGCTAAACATTTGTGAGGCAAGTACATGCAACACAGTAAATACGCATGTTCATAAAAATCTTTTTTCCGTGTTTCCGTTCTTCATGGCCAGCACGTGCTGACACATGTCACTGCAACACTAAACACAAATTGTCTGCTAAGGCTTTGAACTCGCTCACCTCAGCTTTATTCCACTGTGAGTTGTTTGAGTGCCTTTAATAAACAGCACAGAAACGGCCTTGCGGTGCCCTGCCAGAGAAGTACGGCTGAATCAGCGTATTGACGAGCTGAAGATGAATTTTAAGTGGTGAACGAACGGTGAATGAAACCTCCCTGTTTCTCTCTCCGTCCTTCAGAAACACAAGGTGGATCTGTTCTACAAGGTTCGCCACGTGATGATGGAGCTGATAGACCTGAGAAGGCAGCTGCTGTCCGGTCACCTGACACAAGACCAGAGCAGAGACGTCAAGAGACACATCACCGTCAGACTCGACTGGGGCAACGAGTGAGAAACCACACAAATGTTGCATTAAGACACATTTGCACATTTCCCACACATACAAATAATACACATAGTTTAAAGGGCAGCTGTTCTTTGTCTGACCCAGACGAGAGGTGCTTCATCCATTTCTGATGAAGCACCTCTCCAAACACAAGTATTCTTTTACGTTTTTACACTGTATCATGTGCATTGGTTGCTCATAGTCACGTAATGCTGCTTCGACCACCAGCTGACCAAGTGGGGTCATTTATGACCTGAGCCTTATACACTGTACTGCCAAACGTATTCACTCGTCTGCATTCGCTCACATATGAACTTGAGTGACATCACGTTCCTAATCCACAGGGTTTCACGTGATGTCAGCCCACCCTTTGCAGCGATAGCAGCTCCAACTCTTCTGGGAAGGCTTTCCACAGGTTTAGGAGTGTTTATGGGAATTTTTGATCATTCTTCCAGAAGCACATTTGTGAGGTCAGACACGATGTTGGACGAGAACTCTCCGCTCTAATTCATCCCAAAGGTGTTGGGTTGGGTTCAGGTCAGGACTGTTCAGGCCAGTCAGGTTCTTCCACATCAAACTCGCTCATCCACGTCTTTATGGATGCAGCTGGTTGCCATGGAAACCCATGAAGATCTCTGTGCACTGTCCTTGAGCCACATGAAGGTTGGAGGTCCACAGTGATTGAATCTGCAGAAAGTTGGTGACATCAGCCCGCAATGCGTCTCAGCATCCACTGGCCCCAAAGTGGCTTACCACATCTTTCCCGATCACTTCCACTCTATTATAATCCCCCTAACAGCTGACTGTGGAATATTTCATAGTGAGGATATTTCATGACTGGACTTGCACAGCTGGCATCTATCACGGTACCACGCTGGAATTCACTGAGCTCTTGAGAGCGAGCCGTTCTTCCACAAAGCAGAACTGAATGATTTCGATGGGTGAGTGAATACGTTTGGCAACATAGTGTGTTACGTGCACCGTTGTGACTTCTGGCGTGAGGAGAAAGCACTTAAATGCAGACAGCGGAGGCCGAGTGAGGTGAACAAAAAACAAGCTTTTATTTTGACCGGGACAAACGCCACAAACAAAACAAAGGCAGAACGAGCAAAGCTAAAACAGCACATGGAGCACATGGTTAGTGGCTTTTTCTTTAGAAAGACCCTTTAGATGTTTGAAGTTTGAAGTCTGTTTGCTGAATAATAATTCACACACGCTGCACTTACATGCTGATGGCAGCTCAGCCTGCTCCCCTGACTCCTACACAGGGCAAACACAAGTGTGATTGGAGGCAGGTGGATGAAGCCGTGGTTGTTAAAGTCTCATGAGAGCACGATGAAAGGCTGATGGGAAACAGATGAAATGGAGAAAAAATGGCCGCTGCTTCAGGATTGAGTGATTAATACTGGGAGTGTTTCAGAGGTTATTTAAAGCTTCATTCTGCTGTCAGAGGGGACGAGGCACACTGAGGTGATATGAAGGGGGATGGCGATAAGTGCTGCTTTTATTATAATTAATAGTAAAATAATTATTCAGGGTACCGCAGGGTGTTTCAGGTCATGTGACTGCTTCCAGTCATTACTGATGCTGCTTTAATCGAGTATCTCCTGGTCACATCACATTTAGATATAAGTAGGAACTACTTACCGACGATGTGATTTTAGCACATCAGTGTAAAGCAGAGTTATTCGTCCAGTCAGTGGCTTTGCTAAAGAGAGAAGCAGCTCAGTGAATCATTTTAGGCTGCAAAAGGGCCAAAAAGGAGCTAATGAGGTGCTACTTATCTTGTTGCTCTCTGCTAATTCAGTCTCCAGCTGGTAAAAAGAAGTGACGTGTCATGTAACAGATCAGCAGACGTAATTTATAGCCCGAAAGCCAGTTCATGGTGAAAGGTTGCATTGCAGGAAAACAAGCTCGCTTTCATCATTTCAAAGGTCCCGGAGTAGAAAAGCAGAATCAGGATGCACAAATAATGGCTCCATTGTTCCTGATGCATCACGAGCATGGAAGTGTGTGCATGGAGAACACAACTTATCAATGAATCCATGAATGGCAAACATTTATCGGGTCAAGTGTCTCCAGCATGAGAACATTTAGTGTGTCTGAGGAGCCTGAATGTGAGATTTCAGGGTTACACTTAGGATTATCATGTTTGATGTGTGTACGCCGATAATACTGATGTGGTGCAAAGACGCACTTCCTTCTGCTGTTTCGGTTCATGCTACATCCTCGGTGAGAACAGCTGGAGGGCACAAACAAGCTTTTGCTGCCACACATGAACTAGACTTGACCTCCATCTATGCTGCTTCGATGTGTTTTACTTTTCTCCTCAGTGCCAGTCTCCAAATGATCATTGCTCATCACTACATTCCTCTCTGGGTCGTTGCAGGACTGATATTCTGAGTCATCCTGAACTTCACACAGTGTCAAACCTTTGCCTCAGGCTGTCTTTAGTCAGACGACCGTCACAGCAGCCAACTCTGAACCTCTGTGTGAGGTGAAGGACCCTCGTTTGGATCAGAGATATCTCATCATGCTCCTGCTGGTGCAGCCCAAAAATGTGCAGCGCCTGGCTTCAGAGCAGCGTCAGACATACTTGATTAGATATGTACAAAGATGAGTAATAAGCAGTTAATTATAGTGTCGTTAGAAACCTTTAACAACCCATTCAGCTTTACCCTCAAACCCCAGGCTGTGTTTTTATTTTCTGCTTCCACTCAAGCCTTTACTTTCACTTGACATATACAAATACATAAACACCTGATTGCATTTTTGAAGCTGTGGTTGGCAGTGATGAAGAGTTTGGTTTTCAAACCAGATTTAACCCGAATTCAGCCTTGATGGATGCGCACGTTAACACATCAAAGATGGACGTTTAGTTTCTCATTCACAGTTTAAGAGGCCATCTTATTCATTCGGAAGAACATTGTGCACAGCGCCTTCGAGTGCGCGAGTCCACCAGCCTGTAACTGAAAGATGTGGTTGTTGAGATTGAACAGAAAATAGTGCTGAGGAACAATATCCCCAGAGCCCCTCTGACATTACTTTAATATACTCTGTGTGTGTGTGTGTGTGTGTGTGTGTGTGTGTGTGTGTGTGTGTGTGTGTGTGTGTGTGTGTGTGTGTGTGTGT